TTAACGATAGGTTACTATTGATTTTCGAAGAATATTTACCTAATTAGGAAGGATCCGGATTTGGGTTGGGCCTATTTGGAAGACCAACGAGAATATGTGTTTTGTATCAGGTTCAGTTTGTGTGCTCCTATGAGATTGTCATTTTGATCATGTTACCAGGGAGGATGGATATTATTTGTGCCCTAACCTATGTTATGTGCTACTCTTTTATGTTATGCCATACAGCGAGATTTTATGATTATTCCCCACGCACGTTGTAATTCTGTTCAGGCCTTATGGTGATGTGGGTAAGATAACCCTCCTGATGTTAACTGCTCATTGCACCTCAGTTGTGCTTGTTTCCTTTATGTCTTATTACTTCTATTCACTTTTTCCCACAGTTTTATTTGTGCGCTCTATTGTACTTGATATCAGTGTTCATATGATCAGTGAGCCCGAGCATTTTGGCTCGATGAGTATTTGGGAGCGGTTGCATGCCGCAGCAGATGTTATGTGGTATACTGTCTTGATGAGTATTTGGGAGCAGGCTGCACGCCGCAGTGGATGTTATATGAGATACCCTTTCCTTGTGTTTATATGGGGTTCTGCTTTTCCTCTGTAGAACAATTTGATGAAAACTATATTTTCGTTGTTGCACATGTTACACTTGTTAGAAGAGTTCTTCTACTTTGCTTTTCCTTATTTGTGTTACGTAAATGAGTTATTGTGGGTTCAGCGTACAAGATGTGTAGTGTGAGAATTTGTGTGTTTCCATGATGAGTCATCAGTTGGGCTGCTTGTATTGGTCGAGATGTGGTTCTTAGACTTGAGATTGGTACTATGGTATTGGGGTGAGGAGTGTTTGGGAGTATGTGGGTGTTTCTGCTAAGATTTGGGTAATGCCCCTGGCGGGCGAAAGGGTTTCTTGACTTGTTGTCTTCATGGGCGGCTATGGGTCCCCGCATGTTTCTTTATTATGAGCAGTGATGTGGAGGTCCGAAACAAGGTTGTATTCAATGTGAAGTATATTGCCGGCATACAGGATATTATTTGAGCGGTCATAGTGGTAAGATGTTATTGCTTCGGGCATTTGAGTTGTGTGGAGCAGCGTGTGATTGTATTCTGGAATGGAATTTGGCTTGATTCAGCTTATTAAGGCTCATGCAATGTGATGACGTGGGATTCTGATCCGATGATGAAATTTAGATGTTGAGGTTTGGGTCATGTTCTAAGGATATGGGTTAAGGGGGAGATGAGACCTTCAGCTAAGTTGCATTGTCAGTTCTGCTTAAGTTGGGTGATGGAGAATCACCCCCGGGTGTTTGTATGGTGAGCTCGTGCAGTGGTTCGATGGCTTTGGAGCTACTCCGGGCACGTTTGAGGACGAACGTATGTTTAAGTGGAGGAGGATGTAACGACCCGACTGGTCGTTTTGAGCAATTTCGCCCGATTCGGTAGTTTGAGGTCTCGAGCAGCTGCACTTTATGTATATCGACTTGTGTGCATGGTTGGATTCAGTTTCCGGATGAATCAGAGTTGAACTGGAAGAAGGAACCTAGTTTTGGAAGTTTAAACAATGAAAATTTGATCGGAATTGGACTTTTGAGTAAACGGCCCAGAATGGGTCGTGGATGATCTCGACAGCTTTGTATTGTAATTTTGGACTTAGGCGCGTATCCGGATTCATATTTGGAGGTCCGTAGGGTAAATTGAGGCATTTCGGCGAAAGTTAGAAAAGTAGAAGCTTGGAAAATGGAGAAGTTTGACCCATAGTTGACTTTTGTGATGTTGGCGTCGAAATGCGATTGGAGCAGCTCCGCTATGTCATTTTGGACTTGTCTGCAAAATTTGGCGTCATTCCGAGTTGATTTGATCAGTTTCGGCACAAGTTATCGAATTTGGAAGATTTTGAAGTTCATAGTTCGATGCATGGTGTGATTCGTCGTTTCGGTGTTGTTTGATGTGATNCGGGGGTGTTCCGGGTGGGCTACGGGTATTTTTTCCCCATTTTTGGAACTGTTGTTTTGCTACTTCTAGTATCCTTCTTCGCGATCGTGAACAGCCTCTCGCGTTCGCGATGCCTTGTTGCTGACCATCTCTAAATCCTTCTTTGCGTTTGCGTCCCTCCCTTCGTGCTCGCGAAGCCCTGCATTTTCCTTCTTCGCGTTCGCGACATTCCCTACGCGTTCGTGTAGGTCCCGGCTCTTCTTCTCCGCGTTCGCGAGCTCAGCATTGCATTCGCGATGAGCAACCGGGCAGCATTAACTTTTCTTCTTCGTGAACGTGTTCCTCTCTTCGCGTTCACGATGCACAAAAATCTGGGCAGACAGAATATATCCCAAAATTGAGGGTTTCACCATTTTCATTATATTTTGACTTCTAGAGCTCGGTTCTTGGCGATTTTTGGTGGGTTTTTAACGTAATTCGATTGGGTAAGTGTTATTCAACTATAATTAAATATATTCCATGAATTTGTCTTTATTTTTTATTTAAATTGTGTTTGGGGTTGGGGAAGGAGTTGGTTTTCGAAGAAAATTCTAAAACGAAAAATCGTGATTTGAGGGACCAAATGGTACTGGAAATTTGATAAAATTTGTATGGTTGAACTCGTATCAGAATGGGTATTCAGTTTTTGGTAAAATTTGATGGGTTCCGAGGTGCGAGCCTGGGGGTCGACTTTTGGGTCGATTTTTATATTTTTGTAAAGATTGAAACTTTATTCCTCGGAATAGTTCCTTATTCGATTTATGTGTGTTTTGGAGTTGTTATAGTTGGATTTGAGCTGTCCGGAGGTCTTTTCGCCCAAGAAGTCCATTTTAGAGTACCGAGTTATCTTCTTTAAGGTAAGTATCTTACCTAACCTTGTGTGGGGGACTTCCCCCTAGGAATTGAGTCTTCTATGCTAATTGTAGTCTGTGCATGCGAGGTGACGAGTGAGTGCTCGGACTTATTTGTGGAAAATATGCTCTAGGGTTCTTAGGTCCTTATGTTCAGTATGTGGAGAGTATTCCGTTATGATTGAGTTTGATAATTACTTAAATTGTCTCTTTATGCTTCATATGATGTTGCTAGCTTTCCTAGAATTCCTACCTGTGGCATTGACCCTTAATTGCCTTAATTAAAGTGATCACCTTCCTTATTGTTTTGATACTGCTGGATTGTGAGTTCCTCTATGACTTCGTACAAATAGGTTACATGCCCAATCGTTGTGATTACCGGTGTAGTTATCACGTGCTTGTTATGTTTTGTTGTTTAGTTGAGGTTTCATTGTGAAGTTAATTATCAGCATAAGTTTGGTTATAGTTAACTCCCTTGCCGGGACATATTTAATCCTTACTGTTGGTTCCCTTGCCGGGACGTATTTTATTCTTGTTGTTGACTCCCTTGCCGGGATATTGTTGTTTCCTTATTATTCCCTTGCCGGGATTCTTTCGTGATTGGAGTTGATTTGTATATTGAGATCGGGTTGCACGCGCACAACAATATTATATGGATCGGATTGCATGCGCGCAACATCACAATATTATATGGATCGGGTTGCACGCCGCAACATCATAATATTATATGGATCGGGTTGCACGCTGCAACAATATTATATGGAGGGGTTGCACGCCGCAACAAGACTATATGTTTTGGATCGGGTTGTATGTCGCAACAGAAATATATGATTGGGATCGGGTTGCACGCCGCAACAAAAAAGAATAAAATTGAATATTGATCCTTATGGTGAGAATGAGAGTAAAAGCACGAAGGGTGATGCCGTGCACTTTCTGCTGCTGTGTTTATTTGTTGTTTTCAATTCAAATGTTTAAACTGTTTAACTCCTTTATTGTTGTGATCCTTTGTGTTAGAACCCACAATGTTTTCAATACCTCACCATATTTATATTTATTTATTTCTACGTTCCAATACTTCAAACTTCAATAATTGTTACATCCTTAANTATTTGTTGTTATCAATTCAAATGTTTAAACTGTTTAACTCCTTTATTGTTGTGATCCTTTGTGTTAGAACCCACAATGTTTTCAATACCTCACCATATTTATATTTATTTATTTCTACGTTCCAATACTTCAAACTTCAATAATTGTTACATCCTTAATTCAATTAGTTTCTCAATTATACCCCCTTAAACCGTCTGAGGTTGTATTTTTCTTAAAAAGGAATCTCTACTAAGTTTTAAGTTATCAACTCCCCTGTTAAAGGTAATAATTCTTTCGATGTTGTATTTCAAGTTAAAAAGGGGTACTTTCTTTACTCAAAGGAGTTCCAAAAAGGCAACTTCATCTTTTCTCGCTGGCTTTTCTTAATTAGCTTAGAAATTGTAATTTTACTTATATTAGGTAAATGGGACGTCTTGGTCATATTGAGTGCATTGTATGAACGTTATTTATTATATAGCATGAGGATTTTGTTGTTAAAAGTGAAAAGAGAAATGAAATATGGGGGCACAATGTGTCGTGTGGGCTGAAGGTTCGGAAGTTGAGATTGTGAGATGAGGAATCGAGGGTTGAGATGGTCGGGATTGTGTACTAGGCATAAAGTGATATTTAGTTGGCATTGCTTTCTTTATTTAGATAAATTCTTACTTGTCTCTGTTCTTGTTATGTCAGTGTTGATTTACTTGGTTATCTGATTTACTGGATTATCTGATTTACTTAAATCCCCCGATCGTAGGCATTATGTATTTCATCCCAAGTGGTTGGGGGATATTTCTCTTTTCACTTTTAACAACAAAAATCCCCCGATCGCTCAGCAATTCTTTGAGGTATCCTTGGCGAAGCATGTTTACGACCTCCTGCCTTAGGGCGATACAGTCCTCAGTTTTGTGACCTCGCTCTTGGTGGAACTCGCAGAGGGCGTCTGACTTTCTGGTACTTGGTCTGACCTCATATTTTATGGACACTTTACTTTTGGTCCGAGTTTCTCCAATGCGTAGACTATTTCTGAGGGTGACACAAAAAATTGTGAGCGGATAACAAAGGGGGCATACCTCTCTCGTTCCAGTGAGTCCCAGACTTTTAGTCTGGGTGGGCCCTCCTCGTGGCGGGAGGTGGCATGATGGTGCTTCTAATATACGACCGGTGCCATTCTCGATTAGGTCGTGGAGCTGCGAGATCTCTCTTGACATCGTTTTGTCGATCCTTCCTGGACTCGGCCTGTACCGAGGTCAACCGATGAGTTGGCCCATTTAGGTCGTCCTCGTCTGCACAGACCTCAACACAGTAGGCGTTATGTATTTCATCCCAAGTGGTTGGGGGATATTTCATAAGCCGACTTAATAACTTTCTAGTCTCCCTTGAACTATTCCTGCTCAGCCTGTTTTGGAAAGTTGCTATGACCATTCCTTCCGATACATTTGGTAAGGTCATATTTACTCGGTTGAATCGAGCAAGGAAGTCCTCCAATCCTTCACCGAGGGATTTTTTTATGGCGAATATATCGTTCACTCTTGCCTCTTTCTTTTTGGTCCCAGCATGGGCTGTTACGAACTTGTCGGCCATCTCTTCGAATGTTTTAATGGAACGAGTGGGCATATGGGAATACCAAGTTAATGCTCCTCCAGTGAGGATCTTGCAGAACATTTTCAACAAGATGGGGGATACTTGTTCATTGACAAGGTCATTGCCTTTTATAGTAGTGACATAGTGAGTCACATGATCTTCAGGATCGGTCGTGTTGTCATATATTTTCAGATAGGGTGGCATTTTGAAGGTCTTTGGTATGGCATGCGGGGCGGCTTCATCACTGTATGGTTGTTCGACAAACCAACCAGAATCTCCTTTTGGCAAGAGTTTCGGGGCACCCGGTATTTTGTCGACTCTTTCTTGGTGCTCTCTCATTTTGTCCCAACTCACTTTGTTCTCGTTTTTTATTTCCTCTATCTTTTTAAAAATGGTTGTGATGGTGTCGTCACAACATTATAAACAATGTGAATAATACCTATTACTAGAGGGAAAGGGCCATGCTTCTCGACCATTGTCAGTGTAATGCAAGTCCTTGCGTTTTCTCTGACTGTCTCTTGGGCGGGCTTGTTGAGAATGCTGGTTAGTGTGCTAGCTAGCCAAGTCTCAAGGAGCTTTTTCACTGCTGGTGGCATCTCTTCTGTTGTGGATGTGGAAGTTCCTTTACCGCGGGACGTCGCGATACTGCCGTGAGGGAAGGGCGATCCATCTCGCCTGGGGGAGGCGTTAGGCGTTATTTCCTCGCCTTCTGTCTCAGAAACCTCATTGATGGTATTCAAGAGATTGGTGGTGAGGTCGGCCACTACCCTCATTCTTTCTTTTCCATTACCTGCCATGTCAGATTTGTGTGTACAAGAAAAAAAGAGTTTTGTTCTGTGTTTTTTTAGCAACCCGTGCTGGTTATAGATCTATAGGAAACTAAAAATTTAACTAGGGAATCCCCACATACGACACCAAATTGTTTGACTAAAAAGTGTAAACCTTCGGTTAAACTAATTAATTTTGTGTAACGAGGGATTAAACCTAGTTAATGATAATATTTCGAGATTTAAAACTAGTTAACATAGGTAATGTAAGATATTGCTAGTGGGAAATTAAATATAGTGCGCATTTAATATTCCAAATGACTTGAGCAGTAATAGAGGAACATCAAGTAATAAATAACAATAAATGGCATTAGTGTAAATAAGGAGAATGGTTCACCCAATATTGAATGAGGTGGATGATTCTTCTTTCTGACAGTGATGAATGCCAGACAAATCCTAGAGTATTGGAACTATTCTCGGATCTGATGGTAAAGTATGAAATAATGGATGGTAGAATCTTAGTAAAAAGGTAGTGTTTGTATCTTTTCTAGAGAGAGAGTCTTCTTCTCAAAAAGTGCTCTTATCAAATGAATATTACATGCCAAATTCCCTTATCTCTTTTTCTATTTATATGAGACACATCTCCAATCAACCATAATAGTACAAGTGCAGAGAATATTCAACGGAATAATCTCTTAAATATCCTATTACAAAAACTAGTCGTTAGTGCTCCGTTCTTGATACTTGACCTCGACCATTATTGACGACCGACAACGAGCCCCACCGTTTACTAGTCGACCTCCGCGATATCATTTTCTGTAACGCCATTTTATGCTAAATTCTTTTGGGGCAGATTTTGACCTATACAATCACTAGGCGAGGATTGACTTTGAATTAATGGTCTATAATCTAAATCAAATTTTAAAATAGGAAAATGACTTTGAAAGTACTGTACCTGGTCGTAATTAGATTATCCTTTTTTTTCTTCAAACTAGCGTAGTACATGATTTATCGACATCATTACGTGGCTTAGCAATATTAAAGAGAAGATTAGAACTAGAGAGGAATGTGAATTGGTTTCGTTTGCCATTCATTACTTTCTATTTCTGATCTAACATTAAGCTAGCGTTTGGATATAGATTTGGTTAAAACTTGGGGAAAAAATTGGTAAAAATTGCATGGGGTACCTTATTTGGTCGCCTCCATTTAAACTATACCCACTTTTTAAAAAAATTTAACTTGTACCCACTATTTAAACAACTTCATGCCTCTTTCTCCTCCTTCGTTTTCTGAATGCTGAAGCTTGAGATATTGTTATGCGTTTTAACCTGATGATTCATATATATCTGCTTGTCCCAATATGTTCAGTTTGGTCTTATTCACAATAATTTAACCTCTTAGATATTTTAGCTTTACAGGCATATTGGTTTTTGGTCCTAATTTATCTATAGTAACTTGTTTTCATGTCGAAAGTATTTTTCATTCTTTAATCTTTGAAATGAACAGGATCAATCGCTGCTAATCGTGATTTATTAAATTCATTGTTGTTTAGAACTTCAGCTCTAATAATGCTGAAGTTTATCACAAACAGAACAAAACTTCAGCTAAAACATGCTGAAGTTTAGCAAATACAGAAAAAAGCTTCAGCTAAAACATGCTGAAATTTAGCACATACAGAACAAAGCTTCAGCTATTAGAATGGTGAAGTTCAATAATTACAAACAAAAACTTCAGCCAAAACATGTTGTAGTTTTATTGAGCTGAAGTTTGTCGTTTGCACTATGAACTGAAGTTTGCGTGATTGCTTTTGCAAAAATATCTGAAGTTTTGCTACACTTTAGGCAAAACATTCTGAAGTTCAAAGTTCAGACTTAAATTTTTGCTACTTCAGGCCCGTATGTCTGAAGTTACGTGAAAAGTGGATACGCTTGCAATTTTTTTGCAAAGCGAGTATAAGTTAAAAGGTGACCCAAAAACCGGGCGCAAATGCAAATGCCCCTGTGAATTTGTGTTGAAAAATAACTTTTGGAAGCTAAGTTGTATTTGAACATGTATTTTATTTGAAAAAAATTGAATTTTTGTGAGTGAAAAAATTCCACCCAAAAATTGCCCTAAATTAATTTTTGGAAACTTGAATTTTTTTTTCAAAATTTCTCAAAAATTGATCGTGTTCCGAGAATAAACTGTATTTTCAAAAAAAAAAAAAAAAAAAAAAAAAAAAAAAAAAAAGGCCAAAATTTATGACCAAACGGGAGCTAACTGTAATTGATCGTAGGCCCATCTTGGCCAAAAGAATGTCTCAATACTGAAGTTTTGTATAATCAAATATGGAGCATTAGTATTTGCAAATTTTAGTTTAGCTATTAGTATTTATAAATATTGAATTCAATATTTGAAATAGTGGCAAAATATTAAAATACTGATTTGAGGAGCATTTATGTGCACATTAATTTTCACTCACAAATCTTTTAACTCTTTTTCCAAATGAAACTCCATTTCCAAACATAACGTTTACTTTCAAATATTCTTTTTCATTTTCTAACGTTTATACTCTAAATGTTAGTTTCAAGCAAATATTGTCTAACGTGTACGAAGAGATAATAAGGACTCCTAGAAGATTTTAGATGAAGTTTGAAAAATTCAATTTCAGCTCCCTTTCTCCTCCTCCTTCTCCTCCTCAAAGTTATATTCACCCTCAATCCGATAGTTCCATTAAAAAAAATTCAAAGCTTTTCAGCTTTTTTCTTGTCTTCTCCTGCAGCAGAGGCTTGACGACCTAATGAATTCATATGTTACTAATAGATTAGAGAATTTAGTTCTTTTTGGTACTGTTACTTCTTGTGGCAAACATTAGAAAGTGGTCCTGCAAAAGGGGTATGTGATGGTTAACATCGAGCAAAGTACATGCATGTCCTTGTTGATGGACAGAAAATAGTACAACAACAACAACAACATCCCAGTATAATCCCACAAGTGGGGTCTGAGGAGAGTAATATGTACGCAGACCTTACCCCTATCCCGAGGGACAGAGAGGCTATTTCCAGGAGACCCTCGACTCAAGAGAGCAACAAGACGATATATTAGTACTATCAATAGACTAATAATAAAATAACATAAAATACATAACATAAAATAACAAAATAACAGCAATATAAGAGATATAGGAAATACGAAAAGGAAGGAAGATCTACTAATATCCAACAGATAAAGCCCTACATCAGTAGCTGATCAGTAGCATCCTAAGACTAACTCCTAACTGGCTAGTCTCACTCTAGTGCGTTGTAGAAATATTCACAATTTCCTTAACCTACAACCTTAATGCTCGACCTCCACAATTCTCTGTCAAGGGCCATGTCCTCAGAAAACAGTACCGTAGAAAATTACTTGAGGTTGACACCTCGGAGATGGGGCTATCCTCTTCGTTTTAGTCCTCACTCTTGAAGATCAGTTTCTCTTTGGTTGCTCCAGATCAACAATGACAATCTATCTTTACTTTAAAATTAGCTAAATAAGAGACAAACCTTTCAACAAGCTGAAAAGATATATGAAGCATTCACAATGTAGTAGGCTGAAGTTCAACTCTAAAAAGACTGAAGTTCGCCAGTTACAAACAAAAACTTCAGCTCTAGAGCTGAAGTTCCCCAATTACAAAACAAAAATTTCACCAGTTACAAAAACAAAAACTTCAGCTCTCCCCAGTTACAAAAATAAAAACTTCAGTTTTAGAGCTGAAGTTCGCCAGTTACAAAACAAAAACTTCATCTCTCCCCAGTTACAAAAACAAAAACTTCAGCTCTAGAGCTGAAGTTCGTCAGTTACAAAACAAAAACTTCAGCACACTTGCTACTTCAGTCTCGTCTACTAGAATGTTGAAGTTTTGCATGATTGCCTTTGCTACTTGCCTTTGCAAAGCGGGCACAAGTTAAAACGTGACCCAAAAAGCGGGTATAGATGCAAATGCCACAAAATTAATACCGTGCGGTGCGACTTCAATAATTGGAAAGCCAATCACGTGGGCTGCTATGAGAATTAAAAAGTTGACTTTCTATTATGAATCTTATACTATTACTTTAGTTTTTACTTTGAATTAACTACTTTGGGGAGAAAAAAAGAATGACAAATATGGGATGAAGAGAAAGATTATGATCATAAACTTGAGACCATAGACATTTGTTTTTTTTTTAATTTTCTTTGTGAAAGATTAAGAATTCATGGGAACCGTAAAAGTAATTACCCCAAGTTATTTTCCTCAAAGATAAGGGATTATTACAATTTTTTAACTTATTATTTTTTCTCTATTCTTTTCCAAGTATAGTTAACTACTCCACAAAGCATTTGACTATAGAGCATTGATATATACTACTAGTATAAAATAGGACTAGCAAGCAGTGTCAGACACAATTTTCGAATGTATCACCCAACATCCCTTACCTTCTTTATATATATATATATAGTCAACATTTTTTGAAAACATAATACCTATACAAATTAAGTATCAACTGAGATAAGAAACAAAATTTTAAAATTAACATAGTCCTAAATTCAAACTCATTAAAATAAGTGTTAAGTAAA